GCATTGCTTTCCTCACAACAGGATGATCCATCTAACTTCATTCGACACTAAACCCAGACCTGACATATCTTAAGTAAAAGTGTAAATGTTCTTTCAAACATATTTTTGTATAAGAAAATATGTTGTTCTGCAAACTTTCATTTTCAAAAAATCACCCTTAAGTTATGGAAAAGCTGATGCTTCTAAAGTTTTTATTTAACTTATGTCCTCATTTACATGGTAGCAATCATATGTAGAGTTGAGCTGCTTAATATGGCTTTTTCCTCACAGAACAAAGAAAGGTTTGGTATTTCTGAGGTTTCAATCAGATAGCAATAGAAGAACACTCAATATATGAAAAAATGCTACAGAAATTTGTTTCAGAAAACTAAAGTTTCTTCCCATTTTTACGAAGCTCACAATCCAATGAGAAAAACAAGACCAAAATGACATCAGCTGAAATATAACCATTTGGCAATATTTAGAATATGAATTTGAGATGTCAGAGATATGAAAGAAGCAATTGTTAATAGTCCATTTGGAAATGTCTTAGGATAACTTTTAATATAAAGATCATTTACATATTCTGATTCCATTTTATGGACTATAATTAGAAATATCAATTAATTTAATTCTTAACTACACAGAAAAAAAAAGACCCCGTTATATTTGTATCATATGATTAGCCTACAAGTATAATCTCAAATCACTCAGCAGCAATCTTCATATGCAAGAATTGTGCGCTGGAGAATAGTTTTGTTACTGAGATTGTTAGGACCAAATGCTGACTATGTTGACATAAACTAAATCTATACAATTCTGACTTTAATATTCAAATACAGTATTTTCCCCTTATCCTAAGTGGATGCCTGAAACTGCCTATATTACCAAGCCCTATATATATCATGATTTTTTCAATCTGATAACCAAGATGACCAGCCGGCAGGTACTAAGTGACCAGCCGGCAGGTAGTAAGTACAGTGTGGAGATGGTGGACAAAGAGGGGATTCACATCCTGGCAAGACGGAGTAGGATGGCATGAGATTTTAATCATGCTACTCAGAATGGTCCACAATTTAAAACTTATGAATTGTTTATTTCTGGTATTTTCCATTTAATATTTTGAACCAAGTTTGACCATGGATAACTAAAACTGCAGTAAGTGATACCAAGCTGTGGATAAGGGTCAACTATTGTAATCTCTTTTGACAAAAGTGATCACAAATGTTTGCACAAAATGTTGTCAGGCCTGTTTACATTC